TTCTCTCATATTCCCTCTTCCATGTTATTTTTTTTTTGCCCTTTATCTGTCAATTTGCCTGAGAAATTTTTCATCCAACCATCTCACCACCAGGGTTCTCAGTAGCCAATCAGAATGTCCAGAAAGAGGTGGCTGGGAATTTTGAATCTTTAAAAGGCCTGGAAACCAGTGAGGAATACTCTTTTCGCTTCAACTGTTCCTTAAAGTGAGAGTATCCTGTGCTGTGGTTCGGGTTTTCTCCATTTTAGATTGCTGACTGCTTGCCTGCTTCTATTTTGAAGTCTTTCCTCTTTTTTGTTTTTTAATGTTTGGGAGATTTTTCCCCCCATTTCTTCAGATTATGTTTGTTGCTGACAGGCAGCCTGCCCTTGCCAGCATGTGCCTTCTGGAAGAGAAGCGAAGGCATCAAGTAGTAAGGGGAGTGAGGTAAAAAGCTAAAAGTACCATGAGGACATGTGCTTCTCACTCTTCGGAAGGAAAAAAAAGAAGGATCACATTGTCTAAAACAGTAGGTTCTGTTACTCTCTGAGGATTCATCATTGTATCAAAGAATGTTTGAGGGGGAACCCTGCTATGCAACAACAAAAAAAAAAACAACCTACTGCAGACAGGGGACTTGTTTCTAGAACAAATCTCTTTAAGGCCTGTTCCATACAGTGCATAGTCAACCAAATTTGAAGGCGGCTGAAAAGAAATCAAGCAATGTGTGTGAAAAGTGATGCAACTTTTATTAAGTAGAGTGAGATTACAGATGGAAAAAAAAATACAAGAACAAGAATATAGTTCCTTTCTGTTGCAGGAGCTCCCAAAGTAATGATGAATACCTACTGGGACAGAAATCTCCAGCTACCTGTCCTGAGATGAAGGCCAGAGTAGGTCTGCATAACTGTGGATTTTTATGTAATTCTATAACCCTTCCAGAAGCAGCTGCTTGAGGAAAACACCCTCAAACAAACTCCCTTTATTAATGTTTCTGGAAAGCAGGAGAAGGGAGAAAACTCCAATTAAATTATCAGCAAACTATGTGTGGACCGTCCTATCTTTCAGATGTGAAGGCTGGACGTTCAATTTAGCTTGAGTCCTGCATATAATAGTACTTTACATGGTACTGCTTTCTTAAGAGTAGATTTGCGTGTGTGTGTGTGTGTGTGTGTGTGTGTGTGTGTGTGTGTGTGTGCTTGCATGTGTGCACGCGTAACAAAATGTCACCTGTTTTCTTAACAGTGTTATGATCAAGGGTGCCATACTTTCCGTGATGTTTGTACTAACATTTAAGAGAAACTAACAACAACAAAAATCATTCAAAATAAAGAAATTATTTATATCCTTCTGAAATCTACAATTACTTATATTTGAGCAACTTAATGGCATTATTTTTGAAGAAAACTGCCTACAAAACCAGCATGTCATCATTTGTAAACCCTTGTCTGCCAAAACTTACATATACACCCCCCACCCCTGCATCTTGCTATCTGAATGTAATCAGGCTTCATTTCTTCAAAAGGATCCAATTCCACGAAGAACTGAAAAAGCTACAGACATCCCTTACAAATAAAATACTTTTGAAGTTTAAGGGTCACTAGCATAGAAGGTCCTGCCCTGAGTTCTTAAAAATTAGCAGCCTTCATTCATTTATAAAGACTACTGTGTTGCCAACTTTCATTAAATATTATAATTAATTGTTCATTTTCTCCTGTTAGTTAATGGGAACACAAAAAGCTTCAGATTCTTTGAAAAAAGGTGGACTTTTGGACTTAGTGTGATATGAGCCATACTTTGTCTGAGGCGCTGTGGGCTAAACCGCAGAAGCTTGTGCTACAGGGTCAGAAGACCAGCAGTCGTAAGTTCGAATCCACGTGACGGAGTGAGCTCCCGTCACTTGTCCCAGCTCCCGCCAACCTAGCGGATCGAAAGCATCCAAATGCAAGTAGATCAATAGGGACCACCTCGGAGGGAAGGTAACAGCATTCCGTGTCTAAGTCGCACTGGCCATGTGACCATGGAAGATTGTCTTCGGACAAAACGCTGGCTCTATGGCTTGGAAACGGGGATGAGCACTGCCCCCTAGAGTCAAACAAGACTGGGCAAAAATTGTCAAGGGGAACCTTTACATTTAACCTTTACCTTGTCTGAGGCAAAGCAACCTGCCATCTGAAGCAACTTCCCAATTAAACGCGTCATTCTGTAAGACCTGGCTGTCATAGATCTCAGTTTATATACCACTTGAATGCAAATTAATTGTTAGGATCTGAGGAGGTAATTTGTGTCTCAGTCTTCACTTCCAGTTGTAAAAACAAAATGGCAACAATAATAAACGATCACACACAGAGCTGTCATGGAAATGAACACACACAGTGTGTGTGCTGCAGCATTCCCTAGTGCCTTCCAAACATTTTGAACTGAAACTCCTGGTGTCTCTAACCAAGTACCACAACAGCTGGTGCTGAGGAAAGCCACAGTTAAAAAAAACATGAAAAGCAGTATGTCAGAAGAGGCCATTAGACAACTACTTCCTTGATAAAACTGTCTCCCAGCTTCCCAGAAGCATCTTTGATTGGCCACCGACAACACCAACATTCTGGACTAGACAAGCATTCAAATGATTCTTCTTACGTTCTTAAATAATATCCTGAAGTCTCAGTGATGAATGTTTAAAATTTAGTAATTTTAACAATACAGAATTGTAGGATACATGCAGTGTGATTCAACAGAACATATTTCTCATATATTCTGTACTTCTGCCTAAGCACAAGCTTCTGTTGAAGCTGAGTACAAGAGATAGGAAATTTATAACCTATTGCTCTCTTTGTGTTAACCTTCATCCTTGACAACTTTAAAATATGCTGCAGCCTGAATTAAGGAGGAAAGGTTCGTCGTAATCCAAATAATCCCAATGGTGCAGCACTCTGTATCTTAGCGCTGTGGTTTCTTTGAGAAAACAACCCAGGATAAACAAATTTTCAAGTGTAATAAAAGGAAGCATTATACAGTGGACTCAACTTCACATAATATTTTGAAGACTGTGTAGTCTAGTAGGTACACTACACAGGAATTCTGGTTCCAAAACATTTTACTAATGTAAACTTTCAAATGGAATTCTACCTCTACTTGAGACCCACCTGTTGGTTCCAATTACTAACTTGGAAGGAGAACATCTTTATGTTTTGTTCTGCACCTTATCCCTCTGCTGGCAGTTGGGTATCCCACCCATAATGTGCCTGTACCTGCCGACAAGGCTCTGACTTACTACTCATAAAATTTTAGCTTGTGAATTTCACTTAATTCCTCAGGTTTCTCACTACACCGAAATGAAGCCTCAGAATATACAACTCTGTTCGCAAAAAGTGCTGATCATTATTTTTGACAAGAAATTATGTCTACATTCCACAGAAAAGAGAACTGTCAAGAAAATATGCAGCACTAGGGCCTTAAATGTATCCATAATATTGCAGGTAAAAATGTAATAATCAACCACAGGATGACACACTGAAAAACTAAAACTAAAACTATGTGACTAACCTACTAAGGTTTTGGTAATCAAATCCCAGTAAGTTGTTCAGGACAATTTTCTGCTTGCAAAGCTCACTGCAGACTTCCCTTCCCTTGAAAGAATGTGTGTGGGGGAACCACACTAAAAAAATTGAAGCAGAAGATGGACAGGTGGCTATTTCCATTTTTGTTTGGGCAGTGGGGATGGAGTTGAAAACATACTTTTAAACCCCCAAACAATTTTTTTCCAATGAGTGAGAGCTTAGGGGTCTACAGGGCTGGGGGAGGGGGGAAATCATTAAAAAAAACTTGGAGGAATATATGCAATCTGTGGACCATTCTTTGCATTCACCTGTATTACAAACAGTAATTACAAAGAATATGTCACAAAAGATTTACAAATGTGGTCTTTTAAGACACTACCAATGGAAGTTATGAGAGCAGCACACAGAGAAGTGCCTCAGGTAAAAGGGATGATATGAAAGTCCCCAACAAGGGCAAGGTTTTCATTTAGGCCCACGTTTTGGCAACCCACCCTATACCCACTTCTTTCACACCATTTAGAAAGTTACATTAGTAAAGGGAATCAAAATTCCTGTGTAGTGTACATATTATACGTATTTTCCTTTAAAACAAGTATACAACATGTGCACAGTTTGTCCAGAAGCTGGTCAGCAATTCTGAGACAATTACTTGAGTGTTAATAACTTTGTTCACTACGCACTACCCATGTGCTGTGTTTTAGGAGTTAATTGTTTTGATTTTGTTTTTATTTGTACTACATTTGGTCATGTGGCATCAGTGATGGGTTGGAGTGATGCAGGTCACCAACTGGGAAAGTGGCTTGCTCCTGATTTAGTACTGCTGCTGAATTAAAAACAAGGAATAGACCTACTAAAGAGACATTGTAATCTGTAGTTTAAGACTAACCATGAAAAATGTCTTCCCTACTATTATGATCATCTGGCTCATGAAGCATTTTATCTGATATTTTACTGTTTGCATAATTCTTGAAAAATAAGGGATTATCTATGTCTATCTCAAACATCTTTCCCATTCTTGTAAGCATTTCCTTCTGTTCTTGTCAATGGTTATGGAAAAATGAACAAGAATGATCCCTTGACTTTTCTCATGGCCCAAGTCGTAGTCCATGGTTGGTTAGTTGGTTTATTTATTTAAAATATTTTACCCCACCTTTCTTCACATGACCCAAGGTGATTTACATCATTAAAAGAGACAGGGAAAAACAATATTAAAGTAAATATTAAAAAAAGAATTAAATATACGTTATGTTTAAAAATGTTAAATAAAATCATTATTAAAACAACAAAATACTAATCATCCTGATTTTACAACCCAACTTAGATAGCCAGTCATTAAAGGAAAGCGTGCCTGAAGAGAGGTCTTCACCTGCTTGCAGAAGGGCAGCAAAAAATGGGGCCAGCCTGGCCTCCTGTGAGAGGGAGGTCGAAAGTCTGGAAGCAATCACCTGTGGTCCCCACCAAACATACCTGTGAGGATGGTGAGACTGAGAGAAAGGTTTCCCCTGATGATCTTAACACCCAAGCAGGCTCATTAAGGGAGATACAGTCTTTATAGCCTGAACCCAAGCCGTTTAGGGCTTTATAGGTTAAAAGCAGCACTTTGAATTGTGCCCAGAACCAGGTTGGCAGCCAATGGAGCTGCTGTAACGGGGAGGGGGGGTAAACTTTGACATAAATAGTGAATAAGCCCATTTCTTGAGGAAATGGTTACAAATGGACAGCTTCTTTAAAAGTACACATCCTGGAGAGTATTCTCTTGTGTATATATTAGGATGGAAGGAAGTATATGAAGAATCTATTTAGAATAATACTTCCTGAATGATTTCCCCAACAAATAATTTATTTGATGGTAAATTCACATTTGCACTGCTAGATGAATTGTGAATTTGCCAGAAGGAAAATTATTTACTATTGGCGAATCAACATACATGAACATGCGTTGTCAGAATCTAAAACTCACAGGAATGCCACTAGCTGCAAACACACTCTTTCAGAAGATGCTTTCAAACCACCATCCGGTTATCTACTCCTTTTATCTGCAGCAGTGCAGGGTTATTTAATTCTTTCAGTCTTACTCTGGTTACAGAGACATTTTTATAACCTCAGATTTCAGCCTGTCCTTGCAATATAATTTTCTTGCCCTGTGACACTTCCAATACATCATTAAAGCCTTACAGAACCCTGGGGGCGCTCAAGGTTCACAATATGTTGAACTCACTCAAGGCCATCTGATGAGTTTTGCGGCTGAATGAGAATTTGAAGTCTGGGCTTCCATGGCATACAGTATGCTGTATTGCATTTATAAGAAATACTCCCACCTGTTATCAGGTCATGGTGGCCCATTGATCGCCCACACTTCCCATCCAATATGTGTTGCGGAGAAGGGTGAAGCTGCTGCATAGCTAAGCATTCACTCAATATGTCTTGTTCAGCATCAGAGCACGAGTTTAGCTATAAGAAGGGGATAAAACAAAGAGATTTTCATTTCAAAGTGCAGAACTAAAGTGCACTTAATTGGTTGCATATGCCATTTTTGCTTACAGGCTACATATAGCAAGGAGAAACAAAACACCATTGTTTCCAGCACTGGAGTAATTGAAGATCTATTAGGTGCTTAGTGCTTCTAATTAGAGATCATTTAGGTTTCCATGAGTGCACAGATTATGTGTGCTAATCTGAAACCGCTGGCAGTTAGATTCTCAGAAACATAATGTACCCTTGTGCTCTTCAAAATTTTATGGAGTAATTTAGCTGCACTTCCCTAAGTATCTTGGGTTCCTTTTCTTGAAAGAATTGCATCATTTCTGTAATGACTGGAATGAGATTTTATAAAGAAGAAGAAGTGTCTGCATTTATCAGATTAGAGCTGGCAAGATGGTGGGCTTTAAGTAATGCAGAAGAGGTACTGCTAATTTGTCAGCTGTTTTACATGCAAATTAATGCACTGGCAAAAGTGTCCAAAGCATGCTCTTTGCAAACCACAATGTTGATAATATTAAAAGCACCAGGAGAGAAGAATTAAGGGAAAAAAAACCATTTCTAATTCTTTTTCAAACATTCTGATGTTGCCAAACTTTTGTCATAACACAGGGCTCAAATTACACAGAAACAACCAACCAATGCTGTGACTGTTAAGAAATGGTTATTGTTTTGAAGTTTACGGTTGTGCATTCTGCCTTCTCCTGGGCTTGTTTAGTTTAGTTATTCTAAACTAAAAGATCTAGGCAAATTGGTTTAACATTCTGTCCTACAGGCATTCTTTCCCCACCCAAGCGACTGAGGATTCTGGATCACAATCAGCAGCTGCAGCCAATAACATTTTAAACTACAACTACTAAATAACTGCTTTGTTTTGCTCTATTAACAGACTTCTAGAGTTCCTTGATATAACATTGCTGGAACAAAAGTTAGAATTAAATACATCGGGTAAAGTTGTAGCTCAACAGTGGTATGCAGAGCTTACATGCAAAAAATCTAGCCTCTTGCACAGGATTGGAACAGACAACCCTGCCGGTCACACTAGATAATAATAAACTAGATGTAAGAGAGCTTAGTATGATTGCCTTTCTGTAAGGTCCTAGTTTAAAAAAAAGATCCATGTGACACAGATGGTAAGGGCCATGATATGGCTTTATTATACATTTTTTAAAATTAGAGTTTTATTAATCTGCAACCATCCCACTGCAGCTAAACAAATACTGCTGATGCCACTTTACAGGCTTTACATTACATGAATAAGACCTTGTCCCTGGATCATTCTAGCTACGTTTAGCTGTGGAAAATTCCGGCCCAGTACTGCCATCTATGTTCCTGTGACATCGAGGTTATACTACTGAGATACTTAATACAGTACACAGTACTGTACTGCCATTAAGAACCATCCAGAAATGATATCAACATTTTTGTTGATAGACTCTGTAATTATCCATTCTGGTACCCAGAGTTTTTAAAAAGATGTGCTAATCTAATCAATGTCTGAAGATATATTTTCTTTACTACAGTGGGGTCTTGACTTGAGAACTTAATCCGTATTGGAAGGCAGTTCTCAAGTCAAAAAGTTCTCAGGTCAAATCTGCATTTCCCATAGGAATGCATTGAGAACCATTTGATCCGTATCTGCTCTTTTCCGTCCATAGAAACTAATAGGAAGCGGCTATTCCGCCTTTGACCACTAGAGGGGGATATTTTGTTTCTTTTTTTCTTAGGTCAAGAAAGGTTCAGGGAAGGCAGGAAAAATACAGTCCAGGCAGTACAGTACCAGGCAGTCTGAAGACTGTCTCCCAATCCACTCTCTAAACGCTGGGAGGAGTGAGGAAGCAGACAGGCACTCTTTTCACTGGCCAAGAGTTAACTGAAAGTTCACTTTTTGCACTTTCCCTGCCTCCCACGTGGGTTTTTTTCAGTTTGTAACTCAAATCTAAGTATGTAAGTCAAGTCAGTATTTTCCTATGAGAGTGGTTTGTAAGTCAAAATGTTCTTAACTCGGGCCGTTCTTAAGTCAAGACCCCACTGTATAGGGGTCTCACTAGACTATACTGCAGCTCTAAGGCCTTACAATACTTTCCTCATATGGGCAGCAGAAGCAAAATGCAAAGCCACACATTTGATGGATGAATAGATGAACAATAAGAAATGATTTGTTTATTAGATATATTGCACATAATAAAAGGGCAAAATGTCTCTGAAACTATTGGAGACTCAAAAATAAAGAAATCTACTCAATACTGATTTCTCAGTAGATTTCAGAGCCCTTTTAACAACAACAACAACAGATAAAGATATGCAGCATCCCCCCCCCCAACATCTATATTATATCCAACAAGGAAAGTTCTCTGGGTGTTTAAGGGCCCGAATCAGATCCATGAAGAAAAGTAAGACAGAAACATAATATCTAAGATAACAAGAGCATAAAAAAAGAGAAAAATTAGGCTATGTTGATCCATAGGAATAAAATAAAATCCAAAATCCGGCAATACCTTTATTAGGGTCAATTGCAAACGTTTTATATAGGCAAACTTATAAGTTGTCTGGATCTCTCCAATTTTAACCACACAACCTGATGAAGAGTGAGAGAACTCAAAGACTTGGATATCTTGTACGTTTATATATGGTACTAATAAAGGTACTGACCATCAACCTGTGAACGCGAGCATGGTTCAATTACTACCAGTCTTCAGATGGTGATCTTGCTCAGGTTTTTTTCATATGTTTAATTAGACCAGGCTCAGTATTTAATCAGAAACCAGCTGATCAGTGGAGATTGCTTAGATCAGGTGATCAATTTTATTGCATCTAAAATAATGTTGAAATGATGTGACTTAAGATACAGGAACATTAAAAGGTTTTTAAAAAAGAAATGCAATTTCTCTGCAGTGAAAATCCTTGAAAGACAAATGATTTATCATCCAAATAGACACTTTAGGTAAGCATTCACTTACAACTCAGACTGCTGGTCTTACCTTAGGATGCACCTGTTGTTCTTTGGCAGAATGTGCCTTCACATGTTTCCGGAGGGAACTTGGATCAGTGTAGCGTTTGGCGCACCCAGGAATTTGACAGGCATATGGTTTCTGCAAGCATGTGGAGAAAATAATTGATTTAATTGTGTATCATCAAATTGATTCCAACTTATGGCTACTCTTTCCAGAGCTTTTCAGTGAAAGAATAAACAGACGTGGTTTGCTATTTCCTTCTTCTGGGGGCGCTCCAGGACTCCATGGCTACACAGGCTGGTTCTTCTCCCAGGAAACACAGTGGGGAACTAGAATACCCAACCTCTAACTCCCCAGCCAGATACTTAAACCACTAAGCTATCTGGTCAACTAATCATATGAAGAAGGAATGGTTTTTAAAAGGTAATTTGAAAAAGACATTGACTTTGGAAACACTTCCCTTAATGTATGAACTGTTACACTCAGAACATAAAATGTTGGTGTTGTGCGAACATATTGTTAAACTTGCTTGCTCAGTTTAAAAATGGTGGTTATAACTGCATATAAGAGGCTAAGCAATGAGCAGATACAGTAAACCCAGAGCTGTTCCAGCAATCACTTTTGTTTTGAGATAAGTCAAAATTCTGAAAACACTTCAAGTCATTTAATGTTTGTTGAATAACATGAGCTGGATGCACCTATAACGCAAAAATGTACATTCCATCTTTATAATGCCATCAAACTGCTTCTGACGGACAGCAACCCTAATATGGCTTTTGGGGTATGTGAGATATTCAAAGAATAGTTTACCAATGATGTTGCCCACTGTGTTTCCATGGTTCAGCAGGGATTGGAACTCAGTTCTCCTGAGTCTGCGTCTGACTCTCCACTAGTTAAAGCGGTATAGAGCCATCTACGTTGGCTCTTAACAGAATGTTTTATTAATAGCTAAATATTTTACCAGAAATTATAAGTTTTATTTAAAAATAATAATAAAAAGTCTTTGGCATGGTTGTGGGATTTTGAGACCTGTAGTCCATAAAATAAACTCTCAATGTATTTTTCTCTACTGTTCTTCTCACTCATTGTAAGAAGCACATCTTCTCTCTATAACACACAGAAGCTATACAGGAATGGAGACATTTGTTTAATACTACACTTTGTTGTGTCCCTATGAACAATGGAACCATTGGGTCATACAGATAGCATTTCCACAAAGTCTCTAACCATTCCAACAGCACATCAGTAACACTGTTCAGTTCAAGATACACTAAGATATGAATCAGCACCAGGACTTTAACCAACCTGACAATTAGATTAGTCTAATTTGTTTGTTGTTGTTGTTGTTGAAGTTTTTTAAAGTTCACTTTACTCTGTACAAATGGGTATCTTGTCCATTTTTTTATTTATTTACTCAGTCAACAGTATAGACATTATGATGTATCCTGATCATTACTATTCCATGTTCAAAATCCTGTTGCATAAACTTACACCTGCAGAAGACTGATGACATCACCAGCAGGGGGAAATTTCCTCATTCTGTGAGACAGCTTTTCTGACTTCCATGCGGTCACTTTTATTGCATGCAAGCTGCAAAAGCTATGATACAGAAGAAGTCCAATTATTGAAAAATCTTTCCCTGTCAGTAATATCTACTACTAATAGAGTTCTTCAGTAGGCAAATACATCCTCCTTCCATCCCAAACCTCTCACTGCTTTCATGTGATGAAACTGATTATATGCAAATCTGAGAAGTCCCAGAACTGACTAAGTCTTTAATTATCAAAAATCTTTCCCTGCTGCTGACATCAGCATGCCTGCAGGTGTACTTGTGCAACAGGATTTTGGCCTACGCAATTGTCATTCTACCAAGCAGGCAACTATACTAATACGCTATATCTTCCAGTATAGTTTTGTGTTTTTTTACCAATCTCTTCATTAGACCTCATGGTTATAGAACAGTTCTGCTCTTTTTGACAAAATTAAACAATCCTGACTGAAATCATAACAGTAAATCTTTTGAGCAATGGAAAAGCACTCTTCTTATCTGTTCTTTAAAAGGTCAATTTCTATCCTGTTTCTAGGACAGCCCTAGACCTAACCCTAACCTAATAATCTGCTATTCGATCAAACCAGCACATTCTAACAGGTCTTTGTAATTATTTACAGATTCTCCTTTCAGAGAAGATAAATGACAGATTGACCTACATTTGGAATCTCAAATCACTTCCACATGCATCCAATAAGAACCAAGCAGTCCATATAAATCCTTTTTCTTTGTAGACGCCTCCAGAGGAATAAGTAGTCCTGCTCCTTGTACCAGCAGGAAAATTCCAAAGAAATAATAAGATCATTCACCAGCTCAAGGCTCCAAAGTCTAACCTGATATGTACCCAGAAACTTACATATGAAAGTCAATTTATTGAAAGCGCCTGGAACACACAGAGAATTGAAATTTGAGGAAGGATGATGGAAACCATTAAACAATTCCTTAGTGGAATTAACTGGGCAGAGTATTTTCCCAGCTATGGTAGCACATTATTAAGGATGAGGACTATACATCAGAAAATGTCCATCCATAGAAGTCTAAACCTTTTCAATTTCACTTTCACACAGGATTCAGTTACACAGCAGGCATATAAAGGGAATCAGGGTTTGTTTCATACACTGAGAATCTTCTGTTACATGCATTTGGAGGACTTACCACCAGCATGCAAGACAAACTCTAATTCCTTGCACCTATACTCAAGGAGCAAAAGCAAAACAAAAGGACTGAATTTTTAGGGAGAAATGAAGAGGACCAATTGTACGAACAAATAAAAGCTCAGTTATGTGGACTGTGAAAACAGCAAAGAAAATGTTAAAATTTGTTTAGAAAGGTAAACTTGAACACAGATTAAATGTTAGTCAAAATTATTACTGTACCTTTTCTCTGAATAGGAATATTTCAGACAGCAAAGAGAGAGAGAGAGGGAGAGAGAGAGAGAGAAAGCAAGTAAGTTAGTTAAAGGAGCTTGCTGAAATAACACATAAAATAACACAGAGATAGATGGACCCGGTTCTGAGTATACCACGAAGTCTACAAAATGATTTGTGTGAGGCAAGTTAATCTGCTCCCTCCCAGTCATTCCAGTTATATTAACGTCAAGAAGTTAAACTTCAAAAAGGTGCATCCTATATGGTATATTAAGTTTCAAAAGAGCCACATTTTAGAAGTAATTATAAATTCAAATCTCTAAAACTGACTTTCAAATAAATAAAACATTGTTATTGTAAGTATGCTTGGGTTTGGAAAATGTGACTGACTGACTGACTTGTTTGTTTTTGGAAGGCATAATGTACATTACACATTCCTTAATGCTGCACTGTCTGAAATGTGCAGCTAGTTTTAAAGTAAATATCAATTAACCGCCAAGTTTCTGCCCCATAAACACCCAGCCAAACACTAAACCGCATATTCACCTCTTCCAAAAAGACAAAGGAAGGACTCTTGCTATTAACCTTTATGAGGTTTAGACCAGAAGTTTAGGTGACCTAAAGAGTCTTCTTTGCTTTCATGGGTGGGTTGAGTGTAGCAGAGGCTAGCATGACCAGGCCAATTTAGTTGAGATTATTAACCATTCTCAACTAACTAACCATTAGGTAAAATTTTAGTCACCTAAAAAAATCTAGAGCATATTGGACACAGTATTTCATTGCTAGCACTTCATCTGTTTACACTATCCCTAGTTATCTCAGTTTCCCAGTACTCAAGTGAGTAACAAGTATGACACACTTGAGGTTAATGAAGTTACACCAGAACATTGAGAATTCCCAAGTATAAAAGAGACACATAGTAGAGTAATGCATTCCATTACTCTGATAAGCCTTAAGTACTAAAGAAAACTAAGTATTGGTGTAACATGACAATATAAATTCTGAGTATTTGGGCCATTCTGTTTTATTTTGGATTGGGAGCATGGTATCCTATAATAGTTTCTAGATATCACCCAATAAATATTTACCTAACATAACACATTCAGATTTACTTCTGCATGCTTGTTGGCTAATAAGCCAGCAACATATTCCTGACAGTCAGGAGGACCAAGAATGTCACTTGGTTGGCTGACATTCGTACACTAATGAAGGGGAAGTGAGTGAGCGGGTATGCAATAGAGAGAGAAGGACATGCAGGCATTCAAAAACATTAAGTTTATAACCATGTGTAACCAACTGTATAGTACTTCTCAATCTTCATGAGCTTGCACTTCTAGTAATTATGGCCAAATCATGTAAGATTTTTATAGCATGTTCACATCTCTGAAATGTGACACATTATAATAATAATACCCAAGCTATCATCATACAGGAAAAAGATTTTAAGAGGTACACACAAGGTCCAAAAGATCCAATGAGATTAAGTCACATTAACTGAACAGAAAAACAGCGCTAAAGCAAACTTCAGTAGTCTACTGGGATCATCCATTTACTTAGGGAGCTGCTGTTATAGCACTGTAACCTAGTAGTAGCAACACTGCAACTGCTGAGTCACCACTGACTTTTCTACCAACATAATTGCACCAGATGTGCATACACGTGAAGGCTACCGAGAGCCTTGGAATAGTCTGTAGTTAATTAATTAGCCACTTTTAAAGTAACCCTCCAAATGGCCTTGCTTAGAGTCAAATGACTTTCACCAGTTACAGCTAGTGTGAGTGTGCTGGTCTTATAGATTTCTGCAGTGGTATCCCCCAGTTTGGATTACTGAAAGTGTGTAACACATGGGGTTACTCCTGAAAATGGTTGGAAAGCTTCATTTCATGCAGAATACTAAACCCAGATATCAGAATTTAAGCTTGTTCATCTGACTGCTCTTTATTCCTAAAAAGTTATCATTCCTTCAGAGCTTATTTTTTTATGATAGCCCAGTGCAAAGTGTTATAGGTAAAGAAAAAGAAAAAAGAGGCAAAAACGTTTTGGTACATTAAAGACTAACTTTTATCATTTTTAATGTGAGCCTGCATAGACAAGTCCACTTCATCATGAAATTGACTTGTCCATGAACAGGCACATTAAATATTAGAAGAGTTAGTCTTTAGGATGTTACCATGTTTTTGTCCCTCTTTTTTTCCTTTTTAAAAAATTGTTTGTTTCTACATATAATGCTTGCACGGACTAACATGGCTACCTCCTTCTACAGTACAAAGTGCTGATGCTTGTTAGTTCCTAAGCACCGACCTTTTCTTCTATAAACATGCCTACACTTTAAAGATCTATCATAGCCCTCCTCAGGGTACCTTCTCTAAAGGAAGTGCGACAAGGCTTTTCTGACCATAACCCTTCCCAAGGTGACATGCTTGGTACTAACTGTGGGCTCATCCATACACAAGATTTGTACCACTGTATGTATCCAGTTGTGCTGTGTTCTTCCTTCCTTTTGGATGATACAAGGCTTGCATAGGTACTAACAGTGGTAAACAAGGAAAAGACCCTTGGCTTTCCAAAACTTTTAAAACCACATCCTGTAGGATTTTTGAGGGGAGACTGCTTTCTACTAGAGAAAGAGTGGAGGCAGCAACAGCTTCTTGGGCCTGAAGATTTCAATGTTAGTGTTATTCCACTGAAAATACCCTAGCATGCAATATGTTTTTAAAAGGATTTCTTCACTGCTTTTGAAAGAGTTATTTGGAAAGACAGTTGCTTTCTGAAGTGGATTAGAAGTGGAGTGAGCCACCACTGCCAAGAGCTCAGACTGGAAACTCTCACCTCCTGTACCAAGGGAGGAAAATCTAGTCCAGAAGATCAGAGGTTCCGAAAGCATGGAAAGACCCAGATAGGCTAACTATGACAGCATAAATGCAATGGCATAAGTTGTAGCAGTGAATTGCCATTAGTTAACAAGTTGCCACTTGTATCCTTCAGTGTGCAACTGGCATACAGTGAAGGAAACAAGTTGCAACTTGCTAACTGCGATTTACCTTTGCTATTTATACCACTGCACTTGTGTGTTAGGTACTGCCAAATTGGAACCAATTTAAAATGATGTGCACTAGCATAATTAATGAACAGAATTCTGGGTGCAAAGTTTTCTCATGTACCTCTTTATGGCCCTAGAACTGGCTAACGTCCAAGCAGGCTGGGACTGACTACAGACTGAAATTTTAGTACTGTATTAGGACCCATTTCTTATGGTGATCCGATTTCTTAAAGAGAAGAAAAATGGAATTTAGGAGTAGATGTGGACAGAAGAACTGGTAAGATCAACACTCATTCAGTGTCAAACACCATCAGCCAACTAAATTGAGGGAGGAACAATTGCTTCATCTGAATGAGTTCACTCTTACAGTTTTGGTGCAAGGATTTATTTTATTTTATTTATTTTATTTGTATTTTATTTATATACCACCCATCTGGCAGCCAGGCCCACTCTGAGCAGTTTACAACAAGTAGACAAAAGACAATAAAATAAAACGACATTGCTAAATATATACACACACACAGTACACACACAGTACACACACACACACACACACACACACACACACACACACACACACACACACACACACACTCTCCATACATACAAGCATTCCATTTATCAAGGTCATTAAGGGGCTTAAGACAAGAGGAAAAATCTTTTTTGTTTGTTTGTTTTTATTTCCCTTCAAAGGGAAAGAAGATTGGTCTAGATCAGTGGTCTCCAAACTTTTCAGTGGGAGGGCCACATCATATATGCTCCACATTTTTTAGGGCTGAAGGAAGACATGTGCACATACCTGCCTGCCTGCTGGGCTGGATAAAAAGACAAGGCGAGCCAGATGTGGCCCACAGGGTGTAGTTTGGGGACCCCTGGTCTAGATTCTGCTAAATAGGGTCACTTGAGGTGCAGTGTGATTGATCCTTGCATGGGGATCATAATGATGGATCACGCCACAAGGCAACCCTATTTAGCACCATCTAGACTGAGCCAGATCAGAATAGTTGGGTCATATAGTTGCACCTATATTTATAAGGAAACAAATGTGTTAATAAATAAACTGAGGTGCATGCAGAATCTCTGGACATGTTATTAATATTTGCCACATTTTATTTCTAAAAATTTACAATTGTTCTCAGGAATAAGTTGGAGCTCATTCTCATCTTTCTCCTTCCCCACTAGGGTTTACTAACATGCCACAGAGTAAAAGAAGCCTGTATTCTTCTTATGGAATGCCCCACTATAAAAGCTGCACTGCATGGAGTATCAGACAGAAAGACGTCATGCTTACAGTATCCAGGTGTGTTCGTTGATGCTTAGCTCGATCGCTAGAGTTGCTGAAAGCTTTCTGGCAGCCAGGATGCTGACAAAGATAAGGCTTCTCGCCCGTGTGACTTCGAAGGTGAATCTTAAGGTTTTCAAGTCGAGAAAATGCTTTGTTGCACCCTTCAAACTGCAATAGAGCCATAAAAAGAGTTGTAAAATTTTATTAAATAAACCATATCCTGCTATAATGAATACAGTGCTTGAAAAAAAATCCAAACTGGACATGCAACAAATCAAGCAGAATTCAGAACATCTGCTGAAGTTTATGGTTAAAATACATTTTGCTCTAATGCTTTAATCCATCACTATGCATGGCATAAAGGTCAGTAATACTGCATTCTGTACAGTGTTAAGGCTTCAGGATACGGTTTAAGTAAAGAAGATTAGATATTAAGAAAGAACAAATGTTCAGCTTAGGTGGGGAGTTCTCTTTAACATAATGAACAACATGACCTGTTGATGCACAAGTTACTGTGCCAATCAGACTACTGGCTGCCAAGCACAGAGAAATTACTTGGATATTTTGAACTATGAAACACAGTAGAGCAGAAGAGATTACAAGATGGGGGACAGAAAGAAAAATGGCCCCACTATACATCCTAATGAAATACCAAGATCAAGAGCACATAAACGCATATGTTACACTTTAATTCATTGTACAAACTCATGTTTCATGTCCAGTATGTTTATTGACATATCTTCAATCGTATATACAAGAAGGTGAAATAGTCTTTTAATGGGGCTGCAATAATCATTTACCAATTTCAAAACTAGAGATTCTTCATGTTTCACCAATGGGGTAGCAAAACTGTGCCACTATGTTTCACCACTCTGTCAGCCACCCTACGGAGTGTTGTTCAGCACAAGAGGAGAGAGAAAAATCACAGAACCAGAAAATATACTGTAGAAACATTGTAAAAACAACCTGCAACACACCTGGAATGTCCCCCAGTGCTCTCCAGTCATGAACTGTGCTGGCAGAAATGTTCACATGCTATCCATGCACAGAGGAAGCTAGTGAACTAAAGGAGCATACTCCCAGCACAGCCACTTGTATCCTCCGTACATTACCACAGCATCCAGTTGCATCAGCCAATTGCAAAGCTGGCCATGACTAAAATAATAACCTAATATACAAGTGTATGGGACTGTGATAAAGTTTGCAACTATTCTTTCTCAAGCATTCCACCTGTATATTACATACTGTACTGGACATGGCATTTTTTCCATATAGAGATGGACACTATGTATTCATATCTCAGGGACACAAATATGGCCTGTGGCACAAGACCAGCCAACCCTTCCCCATGCAGCCAACCACTTCAGTGTGGAGGTGGGATGGGGAGTCTCCTCGCTCAGCCGATGTGTGGTCAGCTGTGGCAGGGAAGAGCTGGCTGGGCTCCTGCCAGGACTGGCATGCCACTGCCGCCACCAAAGCACCCCAGTGCCACGTGCAGCCCGGTGAGTAGCTCGGCCAGTTCTAGGGGAGGAACCTGTGGCCCCTGTGGGTAGTATTGATATCCCTGAGATATGAATATGAAATGCTCGTGTCTAATACAGAGCATGTATCCTAATGCAGAGCTACAGCCCTCCCCAAAATATAGGAGATTTTATTCCAATCTAATACTGTACTGTATTCTGTCATCAATTCTTCTGAAAATATATAGAGGAAGAGTTACTGTTGCACAAAATATGCAAAACTGACTTTGCGATTTCAAAAATTAAGTTTTGCATTTAAAATGTACCATTGCATTGTGCTACAAACTATTCCTTACCAACAGTACAGGCCACAAATGTAGTAGATCTGGTGAGATAAGATTCTTAAAATGAGAGGACAGGACTGACTTAGCATAAATGCTAAATATATCTCAAAGAGCAGCAAAGCAAACACATCAAAATTTTTTTGTGAAATACTCTAGTCAAGCAAATGATGCATGTTCACAGAAGTCCCCAAGTGAAATCTGAGCTCAACATGAGGAACTCACTGGATACCTTCATGCAAAGCAGTGCCTCTTATACTCAATCCTACCTATTTAGAGGTTTTCAAAGTGGCTTTTAAAAAAAACCTACAGTTTCATGAATCCCTAGCCATCTTAGCCATCTGTCATACTAGCTAAAGGATTCTGGCAGATGCAGTTATAAAAAGTAATTTTATCAAACTCAGTAGAATTTATTGTTGAGCATTTGTGCTTGGATTCCTAATGGAAGGTAGCTGTAAGTATTCAAAAGCCAAAAGTGTTAGCAGTGACTTCAGGTTGCCATATATCTTCTGGACTTTATACAGAAAGTGATGCAATTTGGTGCTGAGTCACAGCATGTCATACAGTCTGTTGTACGAATATGGATGGGAGGGACGCTGGGGAGGCTATATAAGAATCTCCCAACTCAATGGCTAAAAATCGGCAGTAAGTCACTCTAATTAGAGTAGGCCTATTGAATCAGCAGGGATTTGCCGAGTCAACTCCTCCACAAGTTATACTGATTCAACAGACTCACTCAAGTCTAGTTGTGACTTACTACTCAATTTCTGCTAATGAGAGGGAAATTTCCTTACCTATGTATAGAGTTGGTATACGTAGATCACAAAGACTTGACTTGCTTCAAAACTGACCCACTATTGATGACAATTTTGGCTTATCATCTATGAGTAGTGTTCTTGTGCTGCCTCACAGTTCCTTCTTATCACAGGAGCAGCAAAATAAAGCAGGGTTCAGTCCAGCATCAGACTCTCAAGGGCATTTCCCTCCCCCTCCCTTTAAAAATGGTTTTGCTTCCTTTTAACTTAAAAAGCCCATTTGCACCCTCTAGTAGTCCTCAAAATATTTTTTAATAAATTAAAATTTGAGGTGCTATTTGGGGATGGCAAGTTGCTGAAAGCTTCATGAAATATTGCAGTTTGCCTCTCACAACCTGCAAAGGGCATAAGGGGGCTTTTCGAGCTGAAATAATTGGGGGAGGGGTTGGGACTGCCATAGCCTTGCATTAGACATTTTTTTTTCAAAAGGTAAAGTTTACTGTAAGAAAATTGTAATTAAACAGATTACAGTATTATGAGATGCTTCCTGGAAGAAGAGGGAGAAAAAGACAGAGATGTTTCTGAAATGAATATACTATGGATTTTAGCTGGGGAGGGGAGGAGGGAGGAAAAAGAGTCTTTAACAAAGTGAAAGAAGATGTGTCAAGAGGTATCACATCCTCCCTCATTGCTCTGTCTGGAAGCTGAACAGGACAAAGACCAAAATCACATTGCACAGCTATGGCTGCAGAACTGCAGAGCTAGAAGAAACCCCAAGTGTCATCAGATCCAACCATCTGTGATAGGTGGCCATTCTACCTCTGTTTAAAAGAAAACATCAGTGAAAAGCAGTGTACCATTTTCCAAATCCAATCCATGGTTAAACTGCTCCTACTGTCAGAAAGTTCTTCCTGAAGCTTTGTTGATTTCTTTTTTATATACAGGTATATCATTTTTTCATTGTTAATTCCTTTGTGTACCTAGATGATAAAACACCGCAATGGGGATACTTACATCAATAGTAAAATAAGATTTCCTGTCTCATAATGTACAGCATACCATCAGACAATAAACACCGCAAACAAGATTGCCTTTCTCACTTCATCATGCTCTCAATGTGGCCATCCTGATGCTTTAGCGTTTGAAAGATAATTTGTTTAAGGGATAATTCATGCCTCAGCGAAGAAATGCGAAGAACCAATGAGTTCAAGCCAATTGCTCATGAGGTGCATTCATTTCTGTCAGAATAATTTTATAAACATAAATCCAATATTCAGCAAGCTTATTTCATATGTAATGATACTCAAATTAGGGAATAGTTACAAAGTCCCAATAATAACGATTTAGAGGACAAATCTCATATGTTTCTGCTCATTCAGTCTGTGTGGCAGACTAGGTTTTAGGGATAAACATACAGTGAAATGTTACCTCGTGGCTCAGTGGTTAAAACGCTGTAATGCAGCCAAAACTGTGCTCACGACCTGGGGTTCAATCCCAGGTAGCTGGCTGAAGGTTGATTCAGCCTTCTGTCCTTCTGAGGTCGGTAAAATGAGTACCCAGCTTGCTGGGTGGGGGGGCAATGTGTAGCCTGCATAATTAACTTGTAAACCGCCCAGAGAGTGCTTGAAGCACTATGGGGCGGTATATAAGCAGCACATTTTGCTTTGAAATGTTACCTGTATCAACTGCCAACTTTATACCAAAAAAAAAAAAAATCGCTTTAAAAACTGACCTGTGACTCAGAAATTTTATTTGGCTAAAGAGTTCCCCCTGGGAATATTTTGAGACTTTCTTGATGCCAATGAAGCTTTCAGTAATACCAGATAAAAAGTAAATAAATATATGGTAAAGAACAAGGTCCAGAGACTGGAGCACATATTTTAGAAAACAGGTTAAAAAACAACAACAGACAATCTGAGGTACAAATATTGTTAATTTGCTTTCAAAACAAAATATCTGCAGCTGCCTGTCCAGCAGCCTTGGCAAACTTGGTGTTTTTTGAACTCAATTAGAAATATGGAAATCTGAAAAAGCAAAGCTCCAGTCTAGAGCCCTACAAACTTTATTATGCTACTCTTCCCATTCTCCTTTCTAAATAATATCACAATTCTAGCTCCTTTAATTCTCTTTCTCCTTACAACTACCTCCCCCTATTCATACGTTCAGTGACAGTACTAGTGTTTCAATTACATTTTTTCCTGCAATCTTTAGGATGTTTCTTATATTTGAAGATGCTGTTAGCCATAATTAAAACCCAGCATTAAGACTCATTACCTAGTGGAACTGTCCTTCTTTGTGACTACCAGACAAGCTTCTGTTGGCAGTTTGTAGGCACTGTGTATCCTACCACAGAGAAGTCAACTGGATTCCTTTGGAGAAATAAATTTGGATATTCTCAAGAGTCTCTCTGTTCTCCAGATAACATTTGCACTTGGCAGGATCATAGTTGGCTTCACTAAGGTTACTGAGTTGGACAAATCTGTTCCCTCAAAATCCCCCCAGAAATAGAATGGCTTGTGCTCTGCTATATATTCCAGAAAAAATATTGGGTGGAAACAGAATAATATACATATGAAATATATGCAGGTCACATTGTTTCTGAGTATCAGAGA